GCCAAATCCCATGTCTGGACTACCTGTTCTCTCAGCTACTTTTCAAGGGCACCAGCACAAACTGCAGGCTGGATTTCTGGGCACTCTTCCTGCCTGCCCTCCAAGAAACCTCCGCAGCCCGTAACTCCTTGCATCACCCAGGCCTGGGAGGACAAGCTTCCGAAGGAGGAGCCCTTGTATACAACATGCTTATCTGTGAGGGAGGGGAACTGCTGGGAACTCCTGGCATCCTGCTCTCAGGAGGCAGATGTGGGAATGCTGATTGCACACGGAGTGTCTGGCTCACCTCGCAGCCGCCTCTGCCAGCAGCAGGAACTGCAGGATTGCAGAAGACTGCCTAGACACTGCCATCCCAAGAGAAGTCAGCAGAGGAGCTCTGACCCCGCAGGAGCTGAGCAGCCTATGGAGAAGGCATTCATGGCAAGCCCAGCACATCTCCATCCTGACTGCAGCAGCAGCAAACCCACCTGGGCAGCACCAGGCAGGTCCCTCCCTCCCCACCGACACGGGTGTGTCGCTGCCAGACAGGCCCCGTGGCTCGGGCTGTGTCCCACCAATTGCCAGACCAGACTGCTGCCCCTCTGGGTTCCCAACACTGGCCTCGAGAGCTGGGAAAATCATTTGGGCAACTAATGGCCCCCAAACATGCAATTCTGAATGACCAAACTTAACGAGCGAGTTCCCACCAACTCGGGGAGCAGCTGTGTGTGAGTGCTCCTCTATCCCACCACTAAGACTCTTTGATAAAACCTGAAGTACACTTCCCACTCCTTTCAGAAAAATAGGTTCAAACACCAAAATAGGTGTTGAGAGTAAATGTTCCTGAATTGAAGGGGAAAAAAAAAAAACAACAAGGTGAAAAGTTCCATTTCAGATAAACCAGACTTCTTATTTTTCCCCCTGCTTCAGTCAGTAAATTTGAAGTCAGGTCTTCAGACACCTGTGTTAGCAAAGCCCCTAACAAAGACCAGGGTCTTCCCTCAGGCTTTTAGGGGGACTGGGAGTTTAAAGAGCTGAACACTGTGAGCTCCAGGGCTGCCTTCCCAAGCCAATCAGCACACAGGTTATATCCCAGCCAGAAATACTCTGAGGATGACCAGCCCTGTTCAAACAGCAGCAGCTGTACCATAAACCCTTTAGCAGCATGAACTCCACATTTAAGAGTCTAAAACCTCCCCAGCAAGCACAGGGTGCCCTTTACCTTTCACCTGGGCTGCCAGGGTAGGGTGCTGTAGGCTTTACCTACTACTCTTAGTAGATAAAAAATTCTGGTCAGGGCCTTGCTTCAAGGAGAGGTGTTGGCTCAGAGACAGCCCACAAAATTAGACCGCCAAAGGCAGGCAAGGGAACAGCATGACCCCAAGCTGGAAAATTCCACTTGGCCTCTCTGTGCCAAGAGGGTCGGCAAGGGCTGCTGGTCATCCTCTGAGGTGGCAGGTCCAGACCGGCTCAGCAGGCGACACTCCAGGACAGAAGCATGTTGAGAGCTCTGGGTTCTGGCCACAGACCACTCAGGGCTTGCAGGACAAAAGTCCTGCCTTACCTCCTGCTTTTGCTTCGTCCAAACATGTCCTGGAGAGGAGCAACCTGCTGGCTGCAGGCTGGTCCCTCCCCATCACCCCACATCGAGGGGTACCAGAACTCTGCCCTGTCTGGGACAGGAACCCCTCCAAGCCATCCCTCAGCACCCCTCAGACCCTGCTGCATCCCTGCTGGCTGCCCAACCTCACCAGCCTGTTTCTTTACTTGAAGACTTACCAGATTAATTAGAGGGAAAAACCAGCCCACAGACAGAGGTCTGGTAAACCACATTTAGCCAAGATGAGCCAAATGGGTCATCTGGCCCCAGCATGACACCAACCTTCCACCCTGGTCATCCACGATGCCCTGCTGAGGCAAAAGCCTCTCTTCCTAGCACGACCACACTTGACAAAACCCCTGCAAACACACAGAAAATTCTGAAAACACGACTTACCTGAAAAATTTTTAATAAAGTTTTCATGTAAACCTTGCGGATGCCAAAGGAGACTCCAAAAATTGCTGGCACGATGATGAAAACCAGAAGCAGAGTGAAGAGGACAGTTATGGAAATCCCCAAGAGATTAACCACCAGGCTGTCAAAGGGCAGCAGGAGGAACATGGTGAAGGGCCCAGGCAAGGCCGGGGCCCTGCAGCCAGACAGAAGGACTGCCCGCAGCGATGAACCAGCCCTCCTGTTACTGAGCAACAGTCTCACACACGCACCGAGTCCGCAGCCTGCTCACAGACCCCATTCCAAAGTCACATCCTTCTGGGGCTCTGAGAGACAGGGAATCAGGGATCAGGGAGAGCACTTGGGAGAACAAGCCAAGAGTCTGCCAGGAGGCCAGGCGAGCCGAGGAGCTCAGAGCAGAGGGCACAGGCACGCCGGCCCGTCCATGGGCGCGCGGGGGGCACGGCAGCGACACGACCGCGGGTCCCCTCCCAGGCTGCTGCCGAGCGAGTCCTGCAGCGGGGCAGCTCGTGGAGAAGCTGGCAGCAGAATCCCCTCCCGGCTGCTGAGAGCATGCAGAGTCTCTTCAGAGGGACAAGGTGGAGTCCATCCCTGAGCCTGCATTGGAGGAGATGGAGGGAGTTGGCACTCGCCGGAGCCTACCGTGTGTGGAGCTATTATTGTTCTCCCCACGAGGACACGGGTGCCGGCGCAGGTCCTCGCATGACGCCTGGAACGGGTTCAGTCCTGGAGGCCCCTGGCATCCACTCAGGCTGAAGGGCTGTTACAGACACGAACGAAGCCTGTGTCGCTGGGAAGCTCTTCAAACAGCGAGTTGGCTTCTTGGCAGACGAGGCACTCACGTGCCACCAGCAGCAGCGGAGGAAAGAGCAACCCAAGTCAGCAGCTCGCAGAGGTGTCAGCGCAGAGATGGTGGCAGGAGGCCAGGGACAGTGGGCTCTGGAACCTGGAAGGCAGTGCTTGAGTGAGGTCACACCACTGAGAGAAGCTCCTGAGACACAGCAAGACTCGGAGCAGGACTCCAGCTACTGCCTGGCACTGTCACAGACTCAGGAATCACCTCCTGCTGCCACTCGTCCCGTATTTTCATACCAGTCCTGTATTTTCATACCACGCACACCTCAGACTCAGGTAGAGCAGACTCATCCACAACCATGCCTAAGGCACGGGACGCAGCAATCAGGTCCCAAGCACAGGAAAGGAGTGACAGAAAGCCCTTCCTTGTGACAGATCTTATCGCCTCCCTCATTTCAGGGCATCCCAGAGCACTGAGGAGGCGAGGTACCCAAATTCCTGGGAAGGCATCACTTCCTCTGCTCCTGTACATCTCATCCTCGGTCACACAGGGCAGCTTTACAAACAGTTCAGGACAGGAAGTTACCCCAGGGAGAGAATTACTGATGATGATTAGCCAAAGAGGAATTTGCTGGGGCACGGGGACCAGTGAAAAGGTCACACACCCTGCACTGCCGCCCTGCTGGGGGAGGATGTGCATGCACAGGACCAAGGCTTGTGACAACAGCCAAGTCTGCTCAGGGGAGACTCCCCTCCAGACACCACCTTCACCTGGCTATGGAGTGTCAGCCTGAGGATGGGATTTAACAGGTACCTGACAAGCACACAGGGCAGAGGAGAGTCTGTGAAGATCCTCTTGCTCCCCTGTACAGTGCGTTCCAGCTGCTGGTTGAGCACGGCTGTACCAGTAACGCTAAGAATATGGTAAGTGCTCCAAAGACACACGCACAGACCATGTCCTGGGAGAGGCAGCTCGTCAGCCACACGTGCCCATTATGCC